GAATCAGCAGTTAATGTGAGGAAACCACCAACATCCAGAGTTGAAGCTGTTCTGTACGGAGGAATGGACTAAAGTTCCTCCAAGCTGGTGAGCTGGACTGATCAACAGTTACTGGAAATGTTTAGTTGCAGTTATTGATGCACGGGGGGGGGGGGGGGACACACACCAGATATTCAGTTCAATTTCAGTTTGTTTGTACAGCACCAAATCACAACAAAATAAGGTATAATCCAGAAATCCAAATTGTAAAGGTATGTTCTTTTTCCAAATGCCTAACCCAGGGACGTCCAAAGTGTGGCCTGAGGGCCATTTGTGGCCCTTGGAGTGATTTTGTGCGGCCCTAAACTGCAATTAAAGAATGGCATAATTTTGACCCACAAGCTTAAGATGTTGCTGCAGCTGTAGACCTTCTTTATATTTAATGGCAATACTTTTTAAATACATTTTTTAGGTTTAACAGCAAAAAAAGATGAAAATAATCTTCTCAAAATTAGCTAAATTAAGTACAATACAAAAATGTTGCTATAATTAATCCCTTTATCCTACAACAAACCTTCTTTGACCTACCAAAACATAGAACTTTGGATGATAAATCATCAAACTTGGCTAAATATAACAAGTGTGTTACGACCGGGTTTTGTATTCAAATAAGACTCAGGAGTACAAAACAACAGTTTCTATTATTTTTGCTGCTGGATGGAGGAGTCAGGATCAGCTGAGTTACCGGGTCCTCACAGGCTGGATGGAGGGAGTGACCTGTCAGCGTGGCAGCGATGATGTCACTGGCTGACTAGCTGCAGAGCAAAACTGGTGCTGCACATGGTCCGTGGGGGGCAAATCCAAAAACGAGGTCCGGTTGTTGAAGCAGTGGTCGTGAACAGAAAAGCAGAGGTCGAAATCCAGAGAACAAGGCATGAACGTCAGGTGTGAACAGGAACAAGAATGGCTTGATATCTGGGACCATGAGAGGTGTAATGATTCAGCACTGGTTGGTGTGGACGTGGAGCGTTTAATTCAATTCAATTCAATTCAAAAATACTTTATTAATCCCAGAGGGAAATTAAGTGTTGTCGTAGCTCATCATCCTGGTTTTATTCAAGAGTTGTTAGGTGCAGATTGCTGTGGGAAGGAAGGATCTCCTGCAGCGAATACGAAGAATCTGGCCACAGATACTGATCTGTCCACCCAGATCCAGCTTGCTGTCAGATCCGGCTGGCCTCTCGGTCCTCCTGGGCAGCAGGACCGCCCGAATGCCCGCCAGAACTCCTCCCAGAGCGATGGCCACTCCTCCCAGCAGTCTGCCGAGCTCCTCGTCACTGCGGACAGCCAACTGTAGGTGTCGAGGGACGATCCTGTCCTTCCGCTGTCATGACCCATGTTTCCTGCTAGTTCCAGGATCTCAGTGGTCAGGCACTTGAGCACAACTGGCAGGTAGATGAGAATGCATCCACAGAACATCCTTTTCAACTCATTTGAGATTTAGGGCTGTAGTTGAGATATTATTTGAGCTTTTGAGATGTTAATCAGCTGCTGTTGTTGTAGAAAACTGCCTTGTTGCCATGGTTACGCATCATAACAAATGTCCAAAACTAAAAAAGTTTCAGTAAAAATCCTTCCAGCTGCACAGCATCTGATACCAGAGGAAACAATCATCCAAAAAATGTGATTTACATCCAGAAAAAGAGGAATTAAAGTTTCCAAAAGCAAAATCTCAGAATGAAAGTAACAGAGCTGCTCCAACATGCAGCCACCTGGAGCGGCGCAGTTCTAGAATTTTAAAGGCAGGTGAACAGGTGCAAGCAATGAACGCTGATTGATACGCTTAGGCTGAGGGGGCGTGGTGAGCGGTTGACTGACAGGAGCTGATGTGAGCAATGAGAGATAGGTGATAAGCAAAAACACAGCAGGGAAACAGAAACATGGCATGAGGAGCAGAGGCGTGAGCAGATGAGGGGTCAGCGGGGGCTGCTGACCATGGCAAAGTGTTTTCAAAGAAAATAATTTCAGTTGAGTTAATGATCAATGGGGAGAAATTTGACATTTTAAAATGAATACAAAGTTGTATCATTGACATACAAGTTGATCAACTTTATCAGGGCCCCTTCAGACCTTCTATGAACCTGTTTTAGTGACTGCCAGCGGTTTTTCAGAACTTTGATGAGCCATTTGGGTCGTCCATGGTCCAAATGGGGGATTGAAGTTCCACCCCCATTTTTAAAGACCAGTTACTCATTTTAGTCTTTTGCCTATGAAAATGAATGAAAATGAACTTTCAAAGCACAATAAAACAAGAGTCCCAAAAAAATCTAATAAATTGATTTCTTTAAAAAAGGAGAAGAAAAAATGATGTTAATGTTTATGAGGCTCATAATGTTGTAGATCTACAAGAATTTAAACTAAACTTTTAACCTTTCTCCAAAATATCATTCAAGTTGTTAAAAATGAGGAGAAAAAAATTCACGCTTTAAATTTTAATTTTTTTATTTCAGATTTTTCTGGCCCGTGAGACCTTTCATGTGTTCTGACTCACCTATGAAAATGTTTGGACACCCCTGGCCTTTTAGTTGCAACTTGCAATACAAGAGTGCTTTAAGATCCCCCAGAATTACTTTTTAGTGTTTTCCCCATAACATTGACCTAAAATGTGATTTTCATATCTGTAGGTGTTCACAGAAAAATCATCAACTTTTCTCATTGTCAGTAAGTTGACAAAGAGAACCCAATTCAACAAATGAGATCAAACAAAATATGTCTTCAAGGTGGCCTCTTAACAGTCATAACTAAATCAGGTAGTTTGTCTTTTTGTTGTTGTTTTCCTACTTCTAATATTGTAAGTTTTCCATCCTTATAAACATATTCGTTGTTTTTTTTTCCAGCTCCTGCTTAAGATTAGGTACTTTCTTGGCCAAACACGGACTCTCAAGTTTATGTGAGGGTGATGAGATATGTTGATTGGACGAGCAAGTTGAACACTCTTCCAGCACCCACACTGTGAGCAAGAACTTTTCTGTGTTCTAGGTGTGCTCAGTTGCCTAATAAATATTCATTTAAGTGTAAGAGTTTTGATGAGAAGAAAATAAGGCGGTGGTCAGCAGAGGTGCGGACAGTAAAAGTCCAAGCATCTCAGGCCCCAGGCAGTATGGACAGAGAAAGTAGGCTGACTGCATCCCATGCTGTGAGCAGCTCTGGCAGAGAGCACCATCGACGATACCTTTAAGTAGATAGAATGATACACATGCATGAAAGTGTGCATGATGGTGACATCCTGGGCAACCCTAACATTTCATGAGGCAGGTCCTTAATCAATACACAAATGAATCATCTTTATATGCACTGTTCAAACCACATTATCATTACTGAAGAAGAAGCTAGATAACGTTTTCACTCTGATTTCATTCTGTAAATGAAACGTATTATGTTACTGATTGTAAGAATCATAGTGCCATTTCATGGCTGTGGTACACGATTGTTATTCATTCATTCATTCATTCATTCATTCATTCAATCGTTATTGAGACAAGTTAACCCCATTCATTGCATACGTTGTTGAAAGAACATCTAATTTTGTGGATTTACATGTGTCATGACTACTTACAGAAAATAATGTTCCATTTATATTACTGAATTATAAAATCACTTTGTTTGCTCATTCTCTTTTCTATTTTAGTACAATTCATGAAGCTCATGTCAAGTGATTGGCTGTTGGATTTATGCATGCTTCGATTACAAGCACTTTGTGGAAGTTGATTGGCTCTTGGGTCCAATTTTGCACAAATCAAATCGGTCCCAGCAGTTCTTCCTCTGATTTTATCCTCAAATGGTGTCCCCATTGAGTTTGTTGATTCCTATAAATATTTGTGTATCTTGGTCGACTCACATCTCTCTTTTAAGCTCCATGTGGAAAACTTGGTAAAGAAACTGAAAGTTAAACTGGGTTTCTTTTTCAGAAACAGATCCTGTCTAACCCTGAATGTTAGGAAACACCTTGTATCTGTGACTTTCCTTCCCTCCATTGATTACGGTGACATTATTTACATGAACGCTCCTACAAGAACCCTGCAGATGTTGGATGCTGCAGATGTTGGATGCTGCAGATGTTGGATGCTGCAGATGTTGGATGCTGAAGATGTTGGATGCTGTCTATCATGGTGCACTAAGATTCATAACTGGCTGTGATTATCGTACCCACCACTGCACCCAGTATTGACTGGTTAACTGGACATCATTAACTTCACACAGACTCTCTCACTGGTACATTTTCATCTTTAAATCACTTCCTGGTCTGCTGCCTTCATACATCTCCTCCTACATGTCTCTGTGTGAGTGCAGCTACAGCGTGCGCTCTCAGGACATCATTACCTGCAGTGTTCCCTCAATGAGGACTGAACTAGACAAAAGGACCTTCTCCTACTCCGCTCCTGTTTCTGGAATATCTTACAAAAAGATTTGAAGCTCTCGACCTTTGACCTCTCTAAGTGGCTTTAAGAATCTGTTGGACTCCTGGCAGGGTCCAATGCAGACATGTTCCTGTTTTTAGTTTTCTACATTCACCTTATAATCCAGCTGTTTTGCTATTTTTTGCCATCTTTTTTTAATTTGTATAAAAATAAAAATCTGTGTACCTCTTTTATGATTGTCCATTGTTGTCATGACTCTTTGTTAAAATCAGGTGTCTCTTGTAAATGAGTCCTCGAGGCTCCATGGCACTAACCTGTCTAATTAAAGGTTGAATCCATCAGGAAAAGATGTTCTTTTTTCTTTGCACATCTTCTGAAGATGCTTTGGATTCAGATGAACTTGTGACCTGCTATAGCATGTTCATAATTCACTACAACAAAACTATTTTCTAGTTAAATACTGAGTCCACCATATTTCAGAAAGTCTATCACAACGTGAAGCACAAAGTAGACTGATCTGAATTCCTTGTGTTTACACTGATGATTTGTCAATATCAAACCCTAATGCCTAAAACTGTCCCCCGCTCTTTTCCTCTAATCCAGATGCAGGTTTGGAGCAGTTTCGTGTTGCAGAAAAGGCTCATGGGAACTGGATGAAGCTCTACGTTGAAGGAAACACCTCTGAGGTGCTGACCAACATGGGCAAAAAAGTCCTGAAGCAGTATCTTGAGGCACTAGCTGCCATGAGCTCTGCTCTGAGCAAACAACTGGGCAAATACGATATGTACTCGATGATCGCAGGCATGATCTTTGTGTTTCAGGTGAGTTCTAAGGAGTTTTGTGGGTTTATTTTGTACAGATAGAATAGTATTCATTTGTCTGATACTACTGTGCCAGAAAAGATGTATGAGCACACACAACCATGTTGGTATTAAATTATCATCAGAGTAATCTTGTTAACATCAGTCATACAATAAAAGAAAGGGAATTAATAAAACAAATGTTTGGCCAATAGTTTTTATTGCACTTTCAAGATTAAAAAATGTTAGCCATGCAGTCATGCATGGAGTCATAGTAATAGTACTGTAAGTAAACTCTCTCTGTTCTAAAGTTTTACACATCAGTGCAAGTTAAAATAAACCAAAAAATGATGGTGTTTTCCAGTTTTTTAAGTGACTTATGATCACCCTCAAATAACCAACGAGTCTGTTCTGTTTTCATAAAAATCAAGAGCAGTAGTGGCAGCAAAATGTTGCTTCCTGGTCATCCTTCAGTGTGAGCAGTTCTACACTCAAGTTCTGTCTGCTGCTTTGGAGTCCGTCATTCTACACTGAGAAAAGTCACAAGTGGAAAACATTCAAGAATGCCCATCTTACCAAGAACCTCAGAAAGTTCAGCTCAAGTTCATGCTGTTCAGTGCTCAAAGAACTGACTGGAAAAAATCAACCAAACAAATCCACAAAACCAAGAGTTTCATCTTGAAGCTAACTGGGTCATTTCCAAAGACTGTACAGTGTTTTAGCTCAAGCTTATAAAACCTTAATAGTAATCAGTGTCACAGTGGATTTAATAGATGCCAGACTCAACACTTTACAGTTTACTGCTGCAGCATCATAAAGGTCCAACAAAAACATCTATTCAACAGTTAATGGAAGTTAAATGCTGACGTTTGCACTCGGTTCCATTCAGACTCCAAACAAGATGCAAGAGGATCATCAGAAACAGACATGGATAGGTCCAAGTACACGTGTTCACACCTGTCATTAAAATCCTTCAGGGGTGATCAGATCTAGTTGCCTGCTTTATGTGCACGCTGACATGTTGCCAAATCAGAACATCACGTTTACTAATGGTTCTATAATATTCCTCATAAATACAGTCTCCTGAGCTATAATTTTATTTTGACTTAAACACTTTTCCAAGTTACTTGACTCATATTTTGTTGTAGTTATTTACACAGCTCCTAATAAGTATAATTATGTAATGTAATAATAGATGTGCTATATTAGTACAGAAGCAAAACATGATTTGTGACTTTAGCTAAGTATCAGATCAATGACCTGTAGAACCTTTATGTAAGAAGGTGAACAGGTTTTGCCACACAATAACTACAGTGGACACCCAGCTCTGAAAACTACCAGAACAATCTAAACTTTTCCATACAGCATCCACCAGTTAATAAAATACCATCAAATTACTTTTTTTCCTACAAAGATTATAACAGTTCATTCAGACCTCTTAGGAAAAAGACCAACAAAATGATTTTAAAATTTTCTAAAAGATGGCTGTTTAGTCGTTTTAAATTAACCATCAACTGGGCTTGATGTTGGGTTCCATGACAATGCAGTTGTTGGAGCCGTCACCTCACAGCAAGAAAGTTACAGTTTGCCTCCCAGGGTGGAGTTTACATGTTCACGACGTGCACGCAGGAGTTTTCTCCAGGTACTCCGGTTTCCTCCCACAGACCAGAAGGCTGTAATTAGTAACTCTAAATTGTCTCTTAATGTCAGGGAGCGAATGGTTGTTTGTCTCTATACATCTAGCCTGTGATAGACTTGTGGTCTGTCTTTGGTGTACCCACCTCTCACACAGGGACTGGAGGACATGGGCACCAGCGACCCATCTTCATATCGGTAGATGTTGCTAGTGTGTGCTAGCTGCAACAGTAGGAAGTTGTGCATTGAAAATTTCAAAACAATGTGGACAAACGTGTATCAGATCACTTCTAAACATGGTCTGAGTTAATCTGTCTTTAATGTGTTTTGACAGAACAAGTGTACTTACCGGTACTTTTTAATGTGACAGTAGAACGGATCACATGGTTTTCTCTTCTCTTCTGCCTCTCAGCTCCTGCTGGTCTTACTGTTGGCCATGCCTGAAGCCCTGAGCGGTGCGGCAGCAGTGGACTTTCCGGTCATCTCGTCGCTGCTCTCCCTTCCTTTCTACCTCCTGTGCCTGCTTCTTGCCTCAGTGCACGTCTTGGTGTGCACATCTGCAGAGAGCTCCTGTTATTTCTGCAGCCTCTCCTGGGCTCTGGTGTTTGCTGCTGTTGCCTTTTCCTCAGCAATGTTTTGTATCCTGATCTCTTTATTGGCCCGGAGACTCCCCCTTGCACCAAAGATCCATGGGAAGGCAAGTAAAATCTAACTATATCATCCAGACACAGTTTGTAACGAATGTTTGACTTTAGAGATATACAGTCACGCCTCACCTATCATTCATGTTACGGGGTTACGTTTCAGAGACACCCACGATGGGTGAAAATCTGCAAAGTAGCAGTGTTATATTTATTTTATTATTTATATACATATTTATGGCTTTATAAACCCTTCCCACACTCCTACAAACTTTTCCCACCCTCTTATTAACCTTTCCCTGTAATGAATTTAGTGGAGGACCTGAAAATTCAACCAGATAGGGTGAGAAGCTCGATCATCAGGGAGGGACTCAGAGTAGAGCCGCTGCTTCTCCACATCGAGAGGAGCCAGTTGAGGTGGCTCGGGCATCTGGTTAGGATGTCTCCAGGACGCCTCGCTGGTGAGGTGTTCCAGACACGTCCCACTGGGAGGAGACCTAGAGGAAGACCCAGGACACGCTGGAGGGACTATGGTTCTCAGCCGGTCTGGGAACACCTTAGGATTCCCCTGGAGAAGCTGGACCAAGTGGCTGGGGAGATGGAAGTCTGGGCCTCCCTACTTAAGCTGCTACCCCCGCAACCAGACCCTGGATAAGCAGAAGAGGATGGAGGGATGGAACGTTGAGCTACGTAAAACCTGCCCCAATGTGTAACAAAAAAATCTGTTTATTCGTTGAAGAACAACAAATTCAGCTTCCTTTCAAGAAGAATTACTTGGGTGCCGATTAATTTATATGTCCAATAAATTGTACACCCACTTTGTACTCGAGGTTTTTATTTGTACAAAGTGATGATCATTTTGTACAGTACTGAAAATTTCTACCTATAGGTTGCACAAATGTTACCAATTACACCCATGCTCATGCATATAGGCCTGCCTTCATATGACTGAATGTCTACAAATGATCAAGCTAAGCTTTATTTCATAGTCAACATTATAACAGTCATGTGCTTATCATTGCAAAATGTTTATAATAAATAAACAATTGTTAAAAAAACACACAGGTGCTTATATGCTGTGACATCGGTTACCTTCCCTATGAGTGAGCATAATGGCTCAGTCGAGCTCAGCGTTACCTCAGCAGAAGAAGGAGGACCTTCAGGAGGATTAATCCTCACAAAGCCAATGGCCCAGACAACATCCCAGGGATTGTGCTGAGACACTGTGCCGATCAGCTCTGCGAGGTACTGGCCAATGTCTTTAACTCCTCCCTCACCCTGGCAACTGTTCCCACCTGCCTGAAGACTGCCACCGTCATCCCAGTTTCTAAGAGCTCTGCAGTGACTGGTCTGAATGACTACCAGCCAGTAGCCCTAACTCCAATAGTCACTAAATGCTTTGAAAGACTGGTCATGGCCCACATCAAAGCTACCATCGACATCAGCGAGGACCCACACCAGTATGCATACCACAAGAACCGATCAACAGAGGACACCATCTCCTCTGTGGTCCACACTGCGCTCAACCACCTGGAGCAGAAGGACTCCTAGGTCCGTATGCTCTTTGTGAACTTCACATCTCCTTCAACACCATGATCCCCCAAACCCTGATGGACAAACTATTCACACTAGGACTAAGCCCCTCCATCTGCAATTGGGTCCTAGACTTCTTAACAAACAAACCACAGTCAGTGAGGATCCACAACTTCTCCTCCACCATAACCCTCAGCACTGGCTCCCCTCAGTGCTGTGTGTTGAGCCCCCTCCTGTTCATTCTGCTCACATATGACTGTGCAGCTACCTTTCCAGGCTGTCACATTGTAAAGTTTGCAGATGATACAGCGGTGGGTGGATGCATCACAAACAATGATGAATCCAGCTACAGGCAAGAGGTGGAACACCTGGAGAGCTGGTGCAAAGAGAATAACCTTCATATCAATGTGAAGAAGATGATGGAGATGGATTTCAGAAAGAGCAAACACACCTACCTGCGCCCCACCACCACCACCATCACCACCACCACAGGATATATATATATATATATATATATATATATATATATATATATATATATGAGGATCTGCTGTGGAAGTGGTCTCCAGCTACAAGTACTTGGGTGTACACATGAATGACAACCTCAGCTGGAGCAACAACACCACCAGCCTGATGAAGAAAGCTCATCAGAGACTCTACTTCCTCAGACGGCTGAGACGAGCTGGTCTGGAAGCTCAGTCCTCACCTCCTTCTACAGGTGTGCAGTGGAGAGCATCCTGTGCTCCAGCATCAACGTGTGGCATGGAGGCTGCACAGCTGCAGAAAGAAAAGCTTTGCAGAGAGTGGTGAAGGCTGCACAGAAGATGTTGGAGTCAGTCTCCCCACCATCACAGACATCTACACCTCCAGATGCAGGAAGAGGGCCACCTGCATCATGAAGGACCCCACTCACCCAGCACACACACTTTTTGCACCGCTCCCCTCAGGAAGGAGGTTAAGGAGCATTAAGTGTAGAACCATTAGACTGAGGAACAGCTTCTACCCTGAGGCTGTTAGACTCATGAATCTCTAACTAGAATAATCACTGTGAAAAACCACATCATGTTGCTGCTGATCTGTTTCATGTTGCTGCTGATCTGTTTCATGTTGCTGCTGATCTGTTTCAATGTTGATGTGTTCATGCGTGCACATCTGCTCACAGACTCATGTTCATGTTTGTGCTGATGTTCAATGTTTTATGTTATGAGTGCTTAGTGTATATTTAGTTGATGTTTTTCTTAGTTCATATCTTAGATGTTATTACTGTTTTTCTTATACATTTTATTGTTGGATGTAACTGGGACCCCGTGTACATAATTTCGCTCCACCACATGTACCACATGAGGTGCGAATGACAATAAAGAAACTCTGACTCTGACTCTGAGACTCATATTCATGCTGCTGTTCGGCGTATTGGTTTTTATGCTACTAGTGCTTAGTGTATTTTTAGTTAATGTTTTTCTTAGTTCTAAAAATGTTAAATCTGGTCCTCTGGACATTCAAAAAAAACAAAACAAAGCAAATCAACAAAAAATGTAGAAACGTTTCGTCTCTCTCTCTCTTTTTTAGATTTTTCTACCTGGATTATTGAGCATGCATCAGGATGTTTTTCTTAGTTCATATCTTAGATCTTATTATCGTTTTTCTTTTACATTTTAATATAAACCGGATTCCAAAAAAGTTGGGACACTAAACAAATTGTGAATTAAAACTGAATGCAATAATGTGGAGATGGCAAATGTCAATATTTTATTCATAATATAACATAGATGACAGATCAAAAGTTTAATCTGAGTAAATGTAACATTTTAAAGGAAAAATATATTGATTCAAAATTTCACAGTGTCAACAAATCCCAAAAAAGTTGGGACAAGTAGCAATTAGGGATGCATCGATCCACTTTTTTTTACTTCCGATCCCATCCTGAAACCTAGATCTTAGTATCGGCCAATACCGATCCAGTTCCGATATCATGATCATTGATTTTATATGAGGCTGTAATAATCTCCTCTCAAGTACAATTTGTACAAATATATGCATGCATGTCCAAAAAGGCAACATGAGGTAAGTTTTATTAATGTTGGATGAGTTTTAAAGTTAGAATTAAATTCTGCTAACACAAAACATGTTTCTTTTCTATATCTAGACTGCAAGTATCAAGCTGTGAAATCCTTCGTTTTCTAGAACCGATAGTGGTTGGTCATTAATTATGATAAAGTTTAGCAACTTCTCTGTAAACATTTGAGCTCCGTGGTTTTGGCGACGTCTACTTCTTGTTCAATCCGAAGCAAGCAGCTTGATTTTTGGCAGCAGCGCTGTCTGTCCCTCCTCAGAGACGGGCAGACTGAGCGGGGCAGATTGGACGCGGCTAGCCGGTGTCGAGTCGCCTCTTTCGGTTGAGCAAAGAGCAATGCCCCGCTGAAGCCACGGAGCTCGAATGTCCATAAACAGGAAAGCCACTGTCAAGGAAATAACAGAATGGGCTCAGGAATACTTCCAGAAAGCATTGTCTGTGAACACAATCCACCGTGCCATCCGCCGTTGCCAGCTGAAACTCTACAGTGCAAAGAGGGCCAGGGGTCATTTAAAATGGAGTGTGGCAAAGGAAGACTGTTCTGTGGTCAGATGAGTCACGATTTGAAATTCTTTATGGAACACTGGAATGCCATATCATCCAGACCAGAGAGGACAAGGATAGCCCAAGTTGTTATCAACGCTCCGTTCAGAAGCCTGCATCACTGATGGTATGGGGTTGCATGAGCGCTTGTGGCATGGGCAGCTTGCATGTCTGGAAAGGCACCATTAATGCAGAGAACTATGTTCAGGTTCTAGAACAACATATGCTCCCATCTAGACGTCATCTCTTTCAGGGAAGACCCTGCATTTTTCAACACGATAATGCCAGACCACATTCTGCAGCAATCACAACATCATGGCTACGTAGGAGAAGGATGCGGGTACTGAAATGGCCAGCCTGCAGTCCAGATCTTTCACCTATAGAGAACATTTGGTGCATCATAAAGAGGAAGGTGCGACAAAGAAGGCCCAAGACGATTGAACAGTTAGAGGCCTGTATTAGACATGAATGGGAGAGCATTCCTATTTCTAAACTTGAGAAACTGGTCTCCTCTGTCCCCAGACGTCTGTTGAGTGTTGGAAGAAGAAGGGGGGATGCCACACAGTGGTAAAAATGGACTTGTCCCAACTTTTTTGGGATTTGTTGATGCCATGAAATTTGGAAACAACAGATTTTTCCCTTAAAATGATACATTCTAAGTTTAAACTTTTGATCTGTGATTTGTGTTCTATTCTGAATAAAATATTAGATGTTGGCACCTCCACATCATTGCATTCAGTTTTTATTCACAATTTGTTTAGTGTCCCAACTTTTTGGGAATCCGGTTTGTACTTTTATTTGATGTAATTGGAACCTTGTGTACACAATTTTGTTCTACCACATGCACCACATGTGGTGTGCATGACAAATAAAAACCTTGAATCCTTGAATGGGTGTGATTTCAGC